GACAGCCCGTACCGAAGCACTTACAGTCGGGGCGTTGAAGAAGGAACCCTTTTCGTTGGGGAGGGGCTCCGTTTTCCCTGATTGTTTCACAGCTTGCCCTAGGTTTTCTTCAGGTGTTCGATGGGACATCGAACCTTCACTGATGGGAAAAAGGGGCCTCGTTCCTTATTTAGGGTTCCTTAGGTCAAGGCCCCGACTGTACCTTTTCGGTGGAGGCCTGGTGGCAGCGGGCCCCAGCCTCTGCCGGTTCGTCTGCGCGGTTGATGGCCCGCCGCTGCCAATGCGAAGACCGCCAGGTAGAGGACGAGGAGAGGGGGTAAGGGGAGGGATAGGGGGCGGGGGAGGGGGAGGGCGCAGGTGGTGGTGGTAGTGATGATGACGACGATGATGATGAAGATGAAGAATCATATTATGATGATGATGATGATGATGAGGAGGAGGACGATGATGAGGATGATGAGTATGAGGACGATGAGGAGGATGATGTTTATGATGATGATGATGATGATGATGATGATGATGATGATGATGATGATGATGATGATGGCGATGCTGGTGATAGATTTAGAATGGTGATGGTGATGATGATGATGACGATGCTGATGATTATGATGATTATGATGAATGGTGATGATGATCATGATGTCAATAATGATGGTGGTGGTGATGACGACGATGCTAATAATGAGGATGATGCTGATGCATGTGATTGTTTTGATGAGGAAGAACTCATACTGCTGCTAATGGTGGTGCTGATGTTGACGATTCTGCTGATGGTAACGGTGCTGATGATTGAGGATACCGGCGCTAATAATGATACTGAGGTTGATTATGTTAATGATGGTGATGGAGATGATGTTGGTGATGATGATGACGATGAGGGATGAGGATGATGATGCTGCTGATGATGGTGATGATGATGACGACTATGCGGATGGTGATTATGATAAGGATAATGATGCTGATGATCATGAGGATGCTGAGGGGGAGGAGGAGTGGGGCAGAGGAGTAAAAGGCAGAAGGAGAATGGATGATGGCGATGGAGGGAGTGGGAGTACCAGTAGAAGGATTGTGATTGTGACGTTGATGCTGTGATCATGATGACGATGGCGATGACGATGGCGATGGCGACGATGCTGTAAATAATGCTGCTGATGATGGTGGTGGTGACGATACTGATTCATGTTGCTGCTGCTGTTGATGATGCTGCTGATGATGATGAGGATGGTGATGGCGATGCTGATGATGCTGCTGCTTATGATGATGACGTTGATGATGATGATGCTGCTGATGATTATATTGATGGGGATTTTGATGGCGATGGTAACGGGAACGATGGTGATGATGATGATGATGATGATGATGAGGATGCTGCTGATGATGATGATGATGATGATGATGACGATGACGATGATGATGATGATGATGATGATGATGATGATGATGATGATGATGATGATGATGATGATGATGATGATGATGATGACGGTGATGAGGAGGCGGATGAACAGGAGGACGCTTGTGAAGCGGACGAGGAGGAGGATGGTGATGGTGATGTTGACGAAGATAACGATGCTGCTGGTGAGGAGGATGAGGAGGAGTAAGGAGGCAGGAGGGAGGTGGAGGGAGGAGGAGGAGAAGGAGGAGGAGGAGGAGGAGGAGGAGGTATAAGAGGGTAGGAGGTGGTGGAGCGGGGGGGGAACCTCGAGGGAAAAACTCCCATTAGGGAAGACGATGCAGGACTTCGCAGGAAAGGTGATTCCAAGCTCTACGAGCTCAGTGGCTCCTTTGTCGGCGAGGGCCACCTCGGCGAGAGGATAAGTCTCTCGAATGGGGAGCGTCAGCAGGTCGGCTGTCGTCCGAAAACAAAACGCCAAAAATGGCAGGGGTCCCGTACCGCGGTGATAATGATGATGGCGGTGATGTTAGTGTTGGTGATTGTGCTGGTGACGGTGACGGTGGTTGTGATGATGAGGCCGCGGGTTGTGGTGAAGATTGCGATGGCGATGCTGCTGAACATGGTGTTGATAGGTGATTGGGATGGTGTTTGAAAATGAGGATGAGGAGGCGGACCATGATGACGATGATGATGATGACGACGATGCTGGTGATGATGCTGATGAGTGATGATGGTGAATGGTGGTGATGATTGATGGCCCTGGTTATTGTTGATGACGCTTTCGATGATGATGGTGCTGGTGGCTGTCATGCTGGTGATGGTGGTGGCGATGATGACTCTAATGGGTGTTGGTGGCTCCGAGGACGGCGATGATGGGGATCGGAGGTGAGGGGGTGAGATCGAAGTGGAACGGAGAGCCCCCCTACCGGGAAATCGATTTCGGTTTCGTGTTCGTGCGTGCCGTGCGTGCGGGCGAGGCGAAACTGCGTGGGCGGGCGAGAGAAAGTCCCCTGTGGCTGAGGCGCGGCCGGACCAAATGTGTCTCTTCCAGGCGGCCGGTGGCGCGCGGTGTCCCGCCGGTGTCCCGCTGATGTCCCGTCGGTGTCCCTGTGGCTGAGGCGCGGCCGGACCAAATGTGTCTCTTCCAGGCGGCCGGTGGCGCGCGGTGTCCCGCCAGTGTCCCGCTGGTGTCCCGTCGGTGTCCCGTCGGTGTCCCGATGATGATGTGGATGATTATGATGATGATGATGGTGGTGATGATGATGATGATGATGATGATGATGATGATGGTGATGATGGCGATGATGATGATGATGATGATGATGATGATGATGATGATGATGATATGATGATGATGATGATGATGATGATGATGATGATGTTGGTGTTGTTGTTGATGATGATGATGGCGTCGATTGTGAGATCGATTGTGACATCGATAGTGAGACCGAATGTGAGATCGATTGTGAGATCGATAGTGAGATCGATAGTGAGATCGATTGTGAGATCGATTGTAAGATGATGATGGTGATGATGGTGATTATGGTAATGATGGTGATGATGGTGATGCTTGTGATGATGATGATGATGATGACGATGATGATGATGATGATGATGATGATGATGATGATGATGATGAGGATGATGATGATGATGATGATGGCGTCGATTGTGAGATCGATTGGGAGTTCGATTGTGATATCGATAGTGAGATCGACTGTGAGATCGATAATGAGATCGATTGTGAGATCGATAGTGAGACCGAATGTGAAACCGAATGTGAGATCGATAGTGAGGTCGATAGTGAGATCGATACTGAGATCGATAGTGAGACCGAATGTGAGACCGAATGTGAGATCGACTGTGAGATCGATTGTGAGATCGATTGTGAGATCGACAGTGAGACCGAATGTGAGACCGAATGTGAGATCGATTGTGAGATCGATTGTGAGATCGACAGTGAGATCGATAGCCTTATCGATAGTGATATCGATAATGAGATCGAATGTGAGATCGATAGCGAGATCGATTGAGTGAGACGTTGGTTCCCCCTCCCCCCTCACCTCCTTATCACTAGCAGGGTGGTCGTATAGGTAGTGATGGTGATGGTGGTGGTGATGGTGGCAGCACTGGACTCTGAGGAGGCGGAGGATCACCAGGACGTGGACGATGAGCATTGGGGGTAGGGTTTTGGTTTTGGACCCTCTTGGTGCGTGGATCGTTTGTATTCTGATGTATTTAGTGGCGTTCGAAGGGAAGTCGGTTGATGCGTCCGGCGGCTTTCGTATGGCAGGCTTACGTCTGTGTTGGCTGTTGGAGGAGGAGGAGGAGGAATACTAATCTTATTCTTGATAAAAGGAATAGTCATGGAGGTGGTGGTCGTGGTGGTGGTGATCATGGTGGTGATGGGGAAGAGGAGGAGGACGAGGAGAGGAGAGGAGGAGGGGTGATTATTTCAGGAGACTCCGGATGAGTTTAGAGTGGGTTCAGTGGGCTCCTGCCTCCCCCTCCTTCCTCTGGAAGGAGATGCAACGGAGAACGCGGGCGGTCTTTGTCGTCGTCGTCGTCGGTTATCAAAGGTCGTCGGAGGTTTCCCCGTTGTTCTCGGCGGTTTTAGGCGAGTTTTCGCATGTTGTATCAGGTCATCGCAATGAGAAGGAGGCGGAGGAGGACGAGGGCGATAAAAAGAGGGGGAGGATATTGAAGAGGAGGAGGAGGGGGAGGAACGGGAGGAAGAGGAGGAGGAAAACGAGGTCGAGGAGGATGAGGAGGAGGAGTAGGAGGAGGGGGGAAGGGGTCCAGGAGTTCCCGGGCGGGTGTGGGGTCCTCGGGTGTTGTTGGGCTCTTCCTGCTCCTCTTCTTTCGCTACGTGACGCTTGTTCCTGACGGGGGACGTCTCGGCGTGTACAGTCAAAAACCCTAATAAGGACGCGCGACTTTGCTCAGGGTACCCTTGCGTCCTTGCTCTTCCTTGCTCTTGCGTCCTTGAGGTTTTCGCCGTCCGCCGTCTCAAAATTCCCAACTTCGGCTTCCAAGGGTCTTGCGTCCTTGCCGCGCGTCCTTATTAGGGTTGTTGACTGTAGGTGTCCTTTTTCCGTCTGGTTCGGCATTTCGGCCAGTTTGGCTCCATGACCATCCTGGCACTCTCCATGCCCAACCTCTTGAGACCGATGCGTTCGCTCTACATCCCGGGCCACCGCCGAGAGCATCACTAGCCCCGCCACATCCGGGCTGCCACACCCGGGCCACATGACCAAACGGAATGGTAAAGAAACGGAACTGCAACTATACCGCCTACCAGGGTTGGCACACCTAGGGCGCGACAGTGTTCAGCAGAGATGGCCGCCCAGGTTGTTGGGATAGGACGCGCTGGTTGAACCTGCATCCCCCTGCGTAAACACTTCGACCGCCATACAGCGGACCACTATCCACTGACATTACCGGAGTGTACAAAGCGGGATATCCTACACAACAGCCGATCGTCTAATCTCCTTCGAAGAGAAGGCTCACCGCGACGTGATCCAAAGAGGCTTCACTTTCTCGGAAGCCGAGGTGTGAAATCATGCTCCATTGCCACCATCCAGTCATGGTGACGAGTTGTACTTTCGAAACATTGGTGGGTTGCTTGCTCGACGGCATCTTTGGCCAGGTGGCACCTGATGACACAACTTAGATACCATGTTGTTTGACGGCTTTCCCGGACAATGCATCTGCTTGGGCTTGAGCGATCCAGGGTATTTGCCCCATCGCGGGCAGCGCTTACCCCCCCAAAGCGCGGGCCGGGTGGAGGGCTGAACATTGTGCTGCCAGAACGTGGCTCGACCCACATTCCACCAGTCGCAGCACGTCTTCCGTCGACATATCCTCACGCAGCCCGTTGAAGTCTCTCGGCCGAGCGTCTGTATAGGCCGAGCGGTGTGGCCAGCAGGGCTCCGCGCCTTGCAGTTTTTGTTCCGCACGCGCGCCTCATTACCAGTGGCCTTCATGGCTTTGCCAGCGGCGGGGGATTAGCATACATCGGAGGTTGATAGACCTACCCTGACACGTCGATTATCGAATTGGCCGTTTTCGGTTCGCGAGAGGGCGTCGCGGCCGTCATTTTTGCGGGTCCAGGTCCGTCGGTTTCGGTCTTAGGCTATTTTCTTTAAAGCGAGGTTCACTAAAGGGAGGCTTGTCCACCGCCGAATACACCACATTGTTGGGTCGGATGACAGGAGGGCATGGTTCTACGCTCGGCGTCGGGTGATCTTCGGGAAGAGGTCCTGGCAATCCCCCATCTGATGTTGTGTTGTCTCTGTTCAGCAGTGCCGATCGCGAATCCCGCGTCTGGCATCGTTAACAAATTCCCAAATGGCGCTGGCGCGAACCGTGACGTTACCAGGCGGGGGGTGGACTTGGACGCCTGAAAAGGGTACGGACAACATGGGTACGATGCCCAACAACAAATGTTGTCCAAAGTCGACAGCGGCCACTGTTTGACAGGCGGCCTTCTGCCTCAATTGTGCAACGACCGCGGCGACGCCGACAGCGGACACTATTCAGAATGAACAAGACCTGCTGTTGGACGTTGTACCCATGGTTTCCGCACCCATCTCGATCGTCCCAAGGGGAGGGGGCGGCAGCATCCCCGGCAACGGCGGCCATCGCGTTATCGTAAAAGAAAGCGCGCTCGAGGAAGGGCAGCTTGCCCTCGCTGATCGGCGGCGTGGGCTGCGGCGTGGCGCTGCTGAGCACCAACGCGCTGGCCGCGGGGGTGGGGCCGACCACCGCGGTCGGTTCGGTCCTCCCTTCGAGCCAGAAGGGAGGGGAAGAGTAGGGGTCGACCTAGACGTCGTATTGACGATTTCGTGGGCCGTCCTCGCTTTGATCTCTTTTTGCAGCAAAGGCGCACTGAACGCGCAGCGAGTGATCACGAAGGCAGGAAGAACACGACAAACCTTGCTTCGGTGCATCCCTGGGGAAGGGAGGCCCTGGCATCGCTCGGACGCGTGCATGCTTTTCTCGGCGAGGGCCATCGAGGAGCCTTTCGGGCCATCTTGCGAAACGATACACGGACGAAACCGAAACATGCACGGGGAGTGGACGTCCGAGCGAGGGCGAGAGCAAGGTTTCGCGGTTCGGCTCCGATTCCTCCTCATCTTCCTCTTCTCCCCTGGGAGGGCGGCGCGAGAGCGCGAAGTCAGACGTGGGAATCCGAACACAGAACTAAACGAGAAACTCAGTTTGGGTCGATCCCTGAAGGAGGGAGGAAGGGAGGGTAGAGTCGAGACCCATGCCAAGAAACACCCTGCTCGCCTCCAGGGTGCCCTGGGTTTCTTGTGTTTCGATGGTTTTTTATGGAAGGCGTGTCGTTCCCACACCAAACATGAATGAACGTCCTTGGAATCTCAGGGGTTGGGCTTCTTGTGGAAGGTTTCTTGTGGACTGGCCTCCATTGTAGTCGGGGGCGCGCAAACATGGATTAGCGATCCATGGATTTGGCGCGCGGTCGCCAAATCCATGGATCGGGGGGGGTGCCCTCCCCAACATGCGGCCGGTGCCGCCTCGTTCGGCGGCTGAAATCCGCGATTTCCCATGGAAACGGGACCCGTCGCTAATCCACGCCCCCTTGATCTATGTTTTCGATCGCCTGATGTAGGGAAAGGGAAGGGAGGGAGGGGTCGGGTGCCCTCAGATCCGGGCGTGACACCCTTGTCCACGCTAGGCGCTTGCGCCCGAACGTCGGGCCCCAGGGACATGACAGCTCAGCCCGGCTCGACCACAGATATGCTTTCGGGAGCCTTGAGACGGTGGTCAGTGCAAACGGGGGTCAGCCAGAGCGCCGGATCTTGCAGGATCCTGCAGGGACAGGGTCGCATTGACCCAGGTTTTGGTGCAGGATCCTGCAGGATCTTGCAGGATCCTTCGCATTGACCCGGGTTTCGGGCGGAGGATTTTGCAGGATTCTGCAAGGCCTGACTGACCCGGGTCTGGATTGACCCGGGTCAGAAGATCCCAGATGCCCCACATAGATTGTGCCACATCGATTACACAACATATATTCTCGATCTAAAATTTACTTGCAAGTTAACCCCCCAGGGATGGTCTGGTCGGCCCAGGGTTTCGCAAGTGGCATTCTTTTCTCTGCCCCATCGAGATCATACCGCAGGGAGGATGGGGTTCGAGGCTCCGGTCATGATTCCTCGCGAAGTGGCATTTTTGTTGGCAGCCTCGGAGGTCTCGGGGGGAGGAGGAGGGAGGAGGAGGAGGAGGAGGAGGAGGAGGAGGAGGAGGAGGAGGAGGAGGAGCAGGAGGAGGAGGAGGAGGAGGAGGAGGAGGAGGAGGAGGAGGAGGAGCAGGGAGGGTCGTCGTCGAGTTGTGGCATGAACGTGCAGCAGTGCTCGACCACGGTGCTCGCGGAGAGGCACAGGCGGGCAGCGCGCGGCGAAGATGCCGGATCATGGTCAGCTGCGCTCAACTCAGCAGCTGCATCTGAGCACGGCCCCGCCCGAGGGCCCGACGGGCGGCCGCCGACCCGGGCCACGAGGGGAAGCAGGAGGGGGGCACGGGCAAGGGTTGGGTGCACGGACCCAGCGCACGCACAGTCGACCCGCATGGCAAGGACGGGCAACCTTCCCAGGGGTGCCGTTGCAATCCTTGCCTCCTCGGCCCATCCTTCGCGCCGCGTTCGCTGGCCGCGCCCCGCTCGGAAAGCTCCAGAGTGGCCCTCCAAGGCCCTTGCACCCTCATCGAGCATCCTCACTGTACTCACTGACTGTAGCGAGGCCTGGAGGAGCGGGAGCTGGAACCCCGTGGGCCGAGCGGCCACGGACGGAGCGGTGCGGAGAACGCCGTCTGCAGGCAGGCAGCGTGGCTCGCCGACCAGGGGGGGAGGGCAGGGGCGGCGGGCCTTGAAGGAGAACAGCAGCGGAGAGGGCAGCGGGGCAGGGGCGGACCCGCGACGAGTAGAGGCCAGAGCACCCGCGCTGCGCTGCGCTGTGCCGCGGCTGCCCTGAAGACGCGACCCGAGGGACACGAAGGCCAGAGGAGGACAAGGCACCCATACCTCTACCCTCCCCTCGTTTCCCCCTTTTTGGGGCCTCCTGGGCCTCCGTCGTCGCCACCGCTGGATCCGCCTCAGAATCCTGGTCAGGGCGCACCGCAGGAGGGGTCCCGGGAGTAGCGGTATCGGTACCTTTTTGGCTTCCCCAGAAGGCAGCATGATTTGGCCGGCGTGGGCGTGAAGGGATGCCCGAGGCCAGAAAAAAAAACAGACGGGGAGGGAGCCGCTGGCAATAACAACGCCGAGAGTCGTGCCGCCGGCTCGATGTCTGGGACGGTGCTCCCGGTACGAACAAGACCCATGATATTGGCCGAAGCAATGAACAACGGGATGAGGATAGTGGGATGCCGTAGCGATGAGGAGTGAGGAGACGAACGACGACGAAACAAGCGATGAGGAGCAGGACGGATAACAAAGACGATACGCGGAATTTAGGAGAGAACTGGGCAGGAGCAGGGAACCGTAGGATGTGGAGAGCAAAGAGGAGGAGGAGGAGGAGGAGGAGGAGGAGGAGGAGGAGGAGGAGGAGGAGAGGTATGGTGTGGTAGGTTTGGTAGGTATGGCACAGTATGGCATGATATGGTAAGTATGGTCTGGTATCGTAGGTTTAGTATGGTATGGTGGGTATGGTATGGTAGGTGTGGTGTGGTAGGTTTGGTACGGTAGGTAGGCATGGTATTGGTATGGTACGCATTGGTCTGGTATAGTAGGGAGGCGGGAGAAGGAGAAGGATGAGAAGGAACAGGAGAGGGTGGTCTAGGAAAACAAGAACCCAACTCAGGATGCGGGGAACAAGAACCTCACTGAGGGTATGGCGAAAGAAGAGAAGAGAACATGAGCACCGAGGAGGGCGGCTGAGGAGGATCCAAGAGGAGCGAGGAGCGAGACTGACCGATCGTGGGCGTGTGCAGGAGACATGGAGCCGTATCTATTCGTATCTATTTGTTGGTAGACAGGTTTTCCAGCGATGGGCGCCATATTGAACCGTATCTAAACATAGCTAAGCAGATCTATTCGTATCTAAAAATGGCCCCGTATCTAAAATTTGGAAGGAAACATAATTCCCGTATCTAAAAAGTAAGAAACGTATCTATGTTTGAAACATATATGTTCGTGTCGAATTTTCTATACGAAAACGCAATAAAACATATGACTCAGGAGGGGAATTTCAGATACCATGTGGTTCTTCCGAATGCAGCTGCCGCTGGGGAAATGAACAACCATCATAGATTTTTAGATGTGTCTTCCAGGGTAGTGACCCCCGGGTTTTCCGGAGGGGGGGGGGTAGGGGAGGGGGGAGGTTTTGCCAGGGGGAAGGGGGGGGGGTCCAGCACGGGGGGGGCGGGATTTTCAGAGGGGAGGGGGGGGGGACCCCCAGGTTCCGGAGGAAGAGGGGGGATAATTTTCCATAGTAAATCGACGGTGGATCACGCCCTCTCAATGCAATCTCCTTTGGTCTTCGATCCCGCATCCTCCTCGCCCTCCTCCCCTCCCCTTCTGGCAGGCGCCGCGGCGCGGTTTCAAGCTGGGCGCCCTCGTGTCGTTCCTGCTGACGGCAGGCGGCCAGCCCGGCGACCCCCTTCCGCCCATCGACCGATGGTGATCGTGTTGGTGGTGGTGATGGTGGTGGCGGTGGCGATCGTGCGGGTGGTGATGACGATGATCGTGTCGGTGGTGATGGCGATGGTCATGGTGATGGTGACTCTGATGCTGGTGCTGCTGCTGCTGGTGATGATGATGGTGATGGTGATGCGGGTGATGCTGGTGGTGATGATGGTGATGGTGATGGTGATAGGTGATAGTGATGGTGATACTGATTCTGCTTATGGTGGTGGCAGTGGTTGTAATGGTGTGTGGTCGTGGTGGTGATGATGACGATGATGAGGAGTAGGATGATGGGGATGAGGAGGATAATGGTGTTGCTGCTGCTGATTATGATGACGATGATGATGACGATGCTGATGATGGTGATAATGATGATGACGATGATGAGAATGATGATGATGATGATGATGATGATGATGATGATGATGATGATGATGGTGATGGTGATGCTGATCGTGATGATGGTGATGATGATGGTGGTGGTGGTGATGTTGATGGTGATGGTGATGGTGATGGTGGTGGTGGTGATGGTGATGGTGGTGGTGATGATGATGGTGATGGTGATGATGATTGTGGTGATGGATGACGATGGTGATAAAGGTGATGATGATTCTGATGATGGTAGTTGTGCTGGTGGTGATGGTGGCGGTTGCGATCGTTGTGGTGATGATGATGATGATCATCGTGTTAGTGGTGATGGCGATGGTCATGGTGATGGTGATCGTGATGATGGTGATGCTGTTGATGCTGCTGATGATGATGATGGTGATGGTGATGGTGACGCGGGTGATATTTGTGGTGGTGATGGTTGTGGTAGTGTTGGTAGTGTTGGTAGTGTTGTGATACTTGTGGTGAAGATGAGTCTGAATATGGTTGTGGTAGTGGTGGTCGCTGTGGTGATGTCGACGACGAGGATGAGGATGAGGATGATGGGGATGAGGAGGAGGGTGCTGCTGCTGATTATGATGGTGACGATGCTGCTGATGATGGTGATGATTATGACGATGATGATGATGATGATGATGATGATGATGATGATGATGATGATGGAGAAACTTATGATGATGGTGATGGCGATGCTGCTGCTGCTGATGATGATGATGACGATGATGGACTGGATGATGATGGCGACTACGATCATGATGATAATGATGGTGGTGGTGGGTGGTGGTGGTGATGATGAGGAGGAGGGGAAGGAAGGAGCTGAGTCCCAATAAGCACTTGCCGCGGAATCCGCGCCCCACACCTATGTGTGGTACCTTGCAGGGCAGTCGCTAGAGCAGCGGCGACCTTGTGAGCTACGACGGAACGACACCCCGACGGGGACGAGTACCCGGATCCTAATCTATGTGAGGCGTTATCCTGTTACAAGGGTCGAGGTGTTCTCCCCCTTTCCTCCTCTTCAGATGGTAGCCCGCGGAAGCCGCTGCGCGAGGTAACCATGTCTTCTCGCGCAAGACCCGCGTAGTTTTGTCGCTCAAGTGCTTTCGCGTTGCAATGCGCGGGTCTCGGCCTTCTGTGCGCACCCTTCCCGATCTCTCTCCGGAGGGGAAACAGCACACGGACACCATGAGTCGTCGAGTCCCAGGGAAGTACGGGAAAATGTGGGTGGGAAGCGGGGGGAGAGCACGAGAATCAGGAAGATATGAATGAGAAAGTATAGGGCATCCTTGGCGCTGTGCGCATTCGTGTGTGTGTGATTCCCTGGGCCCCTCCACGGCTGACGCCCCGCCAGCCGCGCGGCGTGGCGACCTCTCGGTGCTCCGGGCCTCTGCCCCCGCGGCAGCCGTGCCGCCCCCGGGGCGGGGGCACGCGCACGTGCTCCCCTCGGTGCACACAGGTCAGGCCCTTAGTGGGCCTTAGAAACGACAGGGCCGTTTTTGTTACCGGTTCCGTTTTGCAGTTTGTTTGCCGGTTCCGACGCCGTTTTTCCCAACCATCCTGTGGTGTTGGGTCCTCGTTTTGAAGAGACGGTCCCCGCGTTCCTCCTCCTTGTCCTCCTCCTCCTCCTCCTCCTCCTCGCCCTCCTCCCCCCAGGGTTCGCATGCCTCCCCACCACCCATTTCGGCACACCCCTCACACGTTTCGTGGCCCCATAGGGAGCTCCACCGAAGGCCCCAGGCTGGGTTCGCATGCCTCCCCACCACCCATTTCGGCACACCCCTCACACGTTTCGTGGCCCCATAGGGAGCTCCACCGAAGGCCCCAGTGGCTGGTTCGCATGCTCCCCACCACCCATTTCGGCACACCCCTCACACGTTTCGTGGCCCCATAGGGAGCTCCACCGAAGGCCCCAGTGGCAGGGTTCGCATGCCTCCCCACCACCATTTCGGCACACCCCTCACACGTTTCGTGGCCCCATAGGGAGCTCCACCGAAGGCCCCAGTGGCAGGGTTCGCATGCCTCCCCACCACCCATTTCGGCACACCCCTCACACGTTTCGTGGCCCCATAGGGAGCTCCACCGAAGGCCCCAGTGGGGGCCCGCAGCCCCCCACCACCCATTTCGGCACACCCCTCACACGTTTCGTGGTAGGGAGCTCCACCGAAGGCCCAGTGGCAGGGGTGCATGCCTCCACCACCACCCATCTCGGCACACCCTCACACGTTTCGTGGCCCCATAGGGAGCTCCACCGAAGGCCCCAGTGGCAGGGTTCGCATGCCTCCCCACCACCCATTTCGGCACACCCCTCCACACGTTTCGTGGCCCCATAGGGAGCTCCACCGAAGGCCCCAGTGGCTGCGTTCGCATGCCTCCCCACCACCCATTTCGGCACACCCCTCACACGTTTCGTGGCCCCATAGGGAGCTCCACCGAAGGCCCCAGTGGCAGGGTTCGCATGCCTCCCCACCACCCATTTCGGCACACCCCTCACACGTTTCGTGGCCCCATAGGGAGCTCCACCGAAGGCCCCAGTGGCAGGGTTCGCATGCCTCCCCACCACCCATTTCGGCACACCCCTCACACGTTTCGTGGCCCCATAGGAAGCTCCACCGAAGGCCCCAGTGGCGCGGTGCCTATGAGAAGAGGGGCCTAGTTTGCGTGCCCCCTCCTTCGTCTCATATCCGTGCGGTACTCGCAGCTGCATATGGTTGGGTCCTTCGCCAGGCTAATTTTACCGGTTCCGTCGCCGTTTTCTGACCGGCTCCGGCTCCGGTTCCAATCCTGGAGCCGTTTTTTTTGACGTTTTCGGTAGCCGTTTTTTTCCCGTTTCCATTTTTAAGGGACGTTTTTTTTGGAAACGGTGAAAAAACGACCGTGCCGTTTCCGGGGCCCACAAAGGTCAGGCCCCCCCCCAGCGATACGGAGTGCACGTTGTGGTGAGTCGGTGGGTTCTCGAAGGGCGCCCTCGAGGGCGCGAGCTGTTCGCCCTTCGCAGTTCGGTTCCGATCCGTCCTCGTCTTGCTCTTCTCCCGGGGGGGCGGCGCGAGAGCGCTGCGCTTTTTCGCGCAGCGCGAAGCTCGAGGTTCGGCGCCCTTGGTTCTCAGATGAGGAACCGATGCCGCTACCCTCCCCTCGTTTCCGCCTGTTTGGGCCTCCCGGGAGGCTTTCGTCGCCACCGCTGGATTCGCCTCGAGATTTTGGTCGGAACGCACCCCTGGAGAGGTCCGGGGAGTAGCTGTGGCGGTGCCATGAGTCAAGGTTGGACGGTCCACGCGGTGTCAGAGAACACCGCCGAAGTCGTCCCCGCACGAGTCCACCCTTTTCGTGGCCACAGCATTAGAGGTCTTGGGCGACCCCGCGCCTGTACACCCCCGCGAGCGATGCTTGGAGATCTCGACCTCCCAGGATAGGGCTGCCCGCCTCTCAGGAGCAACGATCGGGGGGGATAGACATCATAGGGGGGACGCATCGACCCCCAGTCGCCCAATGATCGTCGATGGGGGCCAAGCCGTCCCCGCTCGAGTCCACCGTTTTCGTGGCCACCGCTGGATTCGCCTCGAAATTCTTGGTCAGAACTCGCGCCAGGACGGGGCCAGGGAGACGCGGTATCGGTACAGTGGGGGCCCATGCCAAGAACCACCCCGCTTGCCTCAAGGGTGCCCTGGGTTTCTTGGGCTTCGAGGGTTTTGCCGAAGAGGGCGTGGCGTCGGGCGTTCCCACGACATCCGTGGACTTCCTGGGGTCTCAGGGCTGGGTCTCTCGTGGAAGTTTTCCTGTGGGCTGGCCTCCGCCGTATCGGTGCACCGTTTTTGGTTTCCCCTTGCAGCGGCAGCCGGATCTCGGGGAGAGCTCCCTCGTCGCCCGGGGGCTCTTTACCACCCACCAAACCACCCCAACCCAACCCGAAGGCTCAGATTTACCCTCGATTTCCAGTGGGGGGGTGTCGGGAAACATCGAAAAAACACATGTGGAACCCTTACCCCCCCCAACCCGAAATTCGGGTCTTCGGGTTGGGTTGGGGTGGTCAAGTAGGTAGTCAGCTCTGAAATGCAGCCACTGGCAGACTGGCGCGCCGGGGGCCACGGGAGGGGCCCCGGGGATGGATCGTCGGGGGCCTCGAGACGGGGGGTCCGTGCAGACGGGGGTCAGCCAGGGCGCCGGATCCTTACCAGCCTCGAACGTATCCCTATCCCTAAGATTGACACGCCAAAAGGCGACGACAATCTTAGGAGTTCGCCCTCAAACAATAAGGGAATCCCTAAGATTTGCATCGTAATGAGGAGGTGCCCAGCACAGGGATAGGGATATGTTCCAGGCTGGTAAGATCCTGCAGCATCTTGCGAAGACCCCCTCTGGCTGACCCGGGTCAGCGAGCCGCTCGTGGCCGCGAGGCGGCCGCGCCCATTGGCTGACCCGGGTTTGCGAAGACCCGCGCTGCAGTGTTTCCCAACCACCCTGTGGTGTTGGGTCTTCGTTTTGAAGAGGCGGCCCCCGCGTTCCTCCTCTCCTTCTCTCCTCCTCCTCCTCCTCCTCCTCCTCCTCATCCTCCCCCTTCTTCCTACCGTCCGCA